CCATCAGTCGGATACCAACTTTGCGGATGTGGGGGCGGGCACGGTGAACGACGCAATACGAGGTGGTGCGAACCGCTTCCTCGACTCGGCTCCCCCACGCTGCGAAACTGATGCCGACAAGAACAACCAGGAGCAGCCCTCGATACGTCGGAGCAAAAGCCAGAGCACGTCAAGGCTTTCGCGCACATGTAAATGTATGTGTGCATGCAGTTTTATACACATGGAATGCAAAGAAAAAACTGAGGCAGAGCCAGATGCAAATAGGGTAGGGCCACTGGGCGGGACAGGGGTGCCCGAGGGTGAGGACAAGAAGGATAGAGTAAGCCGGAGAGAGAGAGAGGAGTGGGTGGGAAAGGCGAGGTGGGCTGGGTGGGAAGATGGGTCAGCAAAAGGGGGGGAGAGAGAGAGCGAGAGAGAGCGAGAGAGAGAGAGAGGTGGCACACACGTGTATGCTTATTTGTATGCACATAGCTGTATGTTTTTGGGGGAAAGCACAGAGAGAAAGAGAGAGAGAGAGAGAGAGCGAGCGTGAGAGATAGAGAGAAGCATAAACACAAAACAACACATGATCTATATATATAGAGAGAGAGAGAGAGAGAGACAAAACAAGAAAGATCACGAGGGAGGGGAAAAGAGAGAGAGAGGGGAGGGAACATGGGAGGGAGGGATAGACAGACAGAGCGAGGGAGAGTGAGCGAGGAGGAGGAGGAGGAGGGGCACAGACATAAAGACATACATGCATGCATGAAAACATGCATATAGACATATGGTCACCCCCCCAACACTCCGTGTGGTCCAATCGCTGTGCTTTATCTATGTCTCGCTCTCTCTCTCCGTTCCTCCTCCTCCTCCTCCTCCTCCTCTGTGCCTCCTCTTCCTTTCCTCCCCCTCCTCCTTTTCTTCCTCCTTTTCCTTTGCCGAAAAGACTTGCGGGAGGGGGGTGGCCACGAAACCATGCTATTCACATGTTTATATATATATAATATATATATATATATATATATATATATTGTGCTCCGGTCAGGGATGCCACCAAACACTGCTATCCACATGTTTTGTTTTTGGTTTCCAGGAGCTCTGCAAACTGCGCAATCATGTAAGGCATTGCGCAGTTTGCAGATCCCCAGAACACCCAAATTAAGACCTGTGTATGACAGTGTTTGGTGGCATCCCTGACATATCCATATATATATATATATACACATAGATACTGTGGATAGCGTAGTTTCGTGGCCACCCTCCTTCCGAAAGTATTTTTGGCGAAGGAAGCTCGCAGTTTGCAGATCCCCGGGAGAAAAAAGAAGTTAATAGCAGTGCTTGGCGACATCTCCCGACTAAAAAAACACAGCAAACTGTGAATACCATGGTCTCGTGGCCATGCAGTTGCTGTTGCTGCTGTTGCTCTTTTTCCTCCTCCTCCTCCTCTTCCTTCTCCTCCTCCTCCTCCTCCTCCTCCTCCTCCTCCTCCTCCTCTTCTCATCCTCCGCCTGTTCTTCCTCCTCCTCCTGCTTCCGGCCCCCCATTCCTCCTCCGCCTTCTCGTCCCCCTCCCGCGCTCTACACCTTCCTCCTCCTCCACTTGGTTTTCCTCTTCCTCCTCCCCCATCCACCTCCTCTTCCTCCTGCCTCTGACCCCTCATTGCTCGTACTTCGCCTCCTCCCCCTCCTCATCCTTATCCTCCCCCTCCTCCTCCTTTCACGCTAGACCAATTTCAAGTTTCCCCGTGGCGTTCTTGATGAAAGAAGGAGCATTCTAATACGACTCGGGACAAGATGCACCTAGCGACCGCCGCGGAAAATGTGATATGTGAAGCTAAGGCCGAGAATAATAAAAACGAGTAGGCGCCCGCCAGGTGGCGCGTCCAGGCCGAGCTGGGCCTGCCGCCTCACCGCACCATCGTGTTCGAGGCGGAGGGCGAACAACCTTCTCGCTGCCGGCGCGTGGGCCCCTCGCCAGGGTGCCGCGCCGGCCGTGCGCCGCCGCTTCGGCTGAGGCGCGGGCTCGGCGCACGCCCCTCGGCGCTAGCGAGGGGCGCCATTGGTTTGGCTTTATGAATTTGATATTTGCGCATTCTCGACCGCCTACGGAAATGTGAGCCGCGGGCAGCGGCTCGTCTGGGCCTTGTTCCACTCGCCCCGACCTCCCTCCCCCCCCTCCCGCTTCAGATTGCAGAATGCTGCGGCTTTTTCTGGCTCAAGTGACCTCCGCCGCGCCGCCTGCGCCCTTTGACTGGGCAGCCGCTGCGGGCGCGATGTCCAACTTGCCTTTGCCGAAGAGGGGGAAGCGCAGGGCGGCCAGCCAGGGTCGCTCGGTGAAGAAGGTGAAGAAGGCTATGAAGAAGACCGCCGACAGCCCCCCCCAAGCGCAACCCCTATGTGAGGCACGGGGTCCACACGGCCAAATCTCGGAACGAGAGGGTGAAGTGGTGCGCGGGGCTGTCCGACTTCATGAACAGGGGGCAGAGGTACGTCACTGGCGCGCTCAAGAAGCACGGTCACTTGCCGGAGTGGGCGGGG